TTACAGCTACGTTAGCTTACAGCTACGTTAGCTTACAGCTACGTTAGTGACGTCAGCTGTTGACCGGCGGGTGTGTTTGTGTGTGTGTTGGGATGTGTGAGAGAAACGTAGCGTCTGTGTTGAGCGCGGTGAGATTTTGCCTTAAGATCAGAAAAGTCCATCTGATGAAGTTGTAGAGAACTCCTTGAAGGAGAAAGAAGCCAGGAGACAAGTTTTCTGTGAACTAATTAAAATCAGTGATGAGGAAGGAACAGAGGAGAAAGAGATGGATGTTCTTCAGAGAGGACTGTGAAGGAGAATAAAAGTTATGAAGTGTGGCAGCAAGGAACCTGTAAATTATTTAGTTTTAATAATTACATGCAGGTTGACAAAACTGACTAAAATGATTTAGTTTAGTTTTTTGTCTCTTGCTTGTCACAGAGTAATGTAATGTTGTGAAGCGTCATGATGTCGGGTTGTTTTTATGAGTCTGTCACTAAATCAGAAAACAGTCAAAAGACTAAATTCACTGCTGGTGGTTATTAAAATGTTCGTTGGGTAAAGTTAATATTTAAACATGCAGTTCAGTGTCACCATTGCTTATTACAACGGCATGTTGTGTTACAAATAAAACTAAATAAAAAGTTAACAAAATAAAAGTCAAGTGCACCCCTAAAGTCATTGCTTGTGATAAATTGTGTCACATTAATGTCATTATCGTAGCCATCGGAGTGAGTTTATAAACAGGATGATGCAGTTAGGGCTGGGCGATATGGCTCAAATATAATATCGTGATATTTCAGAGCATTCTGACGATAACGATACATTTTGTGATATAACCAAAAAAAAACAAATAGTTATTTATTTAACAAAATTAACTTAACATGTTGCTTTGCAGTATTATATTAAAAGAACAACAAGGGGTCATTTTACTGAAATTACTTTATTTAGTAAAGTATTCAGTCTCGAAGTATAAAAATAAAAATAATTCTTCTGTTATTTAGATTGAAAAAGTCTGCACAAAATATAGATCAATAAATCCACCACAAAAACTAAAGTGCAGGTGAAGTTTCCCAAAATAACTGAATAAAATGAAGCTTAAGATCAGTTGATCATAAATGTAACAAAATATATGTTTCTTTAAATGAGCTGTAACTTCCAGAAGTTGTAACAAGGTGATCATGTGACCCTGAAGCTGGTGGAGTTTCATCTGTTCCTGCAGGAATCATTCATTTCTCTGATGCTCTGTCTCTGATCACATGACTCTGTCTCTGATCACATGACTGTGTCTGATCACATGACTCTGTCTGATCACATGACTCTGTCTCTGATCACATGACTGTCTCTGATCACATGACTCTGTCTCTGATCACATGACTCTGTTCTTGCTCCATGGACTGTGGAACTAAGAGACACACCTGCCGTGTCTGTACCTGCAGTTTAGAGCGGGGTGGGGGAGAGACATCTGAGCTGCGCATTTTGTTTTTAGCTTTTTAGCTAGCTAGTATTGCATGCAAATAATTAGCGTTACGCCAGTACCGACAGGTGGAGGGGGGGTGCGCAGTTCGGTTTGGTCGTTCGGCGCGCTTGGTTCTGTTAACGGGGCGGGGCGCCCTGACGTATTACGTCATGAAATTAGCATATCATGATGTCATTTATTTGCCCGGGAAAGCTGTTTTTACCGGTATTATCGTGAACGACATGATATGGCCCAGCCCTAGATGCAGATATGGACTAGTTGAATGAGGTGGCTCTAAAATATCCTGATGCATGATCAATAATTTCAACAATTGTTTTAATCCATCCAGAGGACGTGACTTTATTTTGTTGATGTCTCTAAAATAATTATTGAATCAAATGTTTACAACTGTATCCAAAAAAGTTCAATCTGGTCCTCTGGGCATTCAAAAAAAAAAAAAAAAAATGTAGAAACGTTTCTTCTCTCATCCTGAGGACTTCCTCAGTCTGAGGTGCTGTTTTCAGCTCAGTCTCTTAAATAGCACCTTCTCCGAGTGGATCAACCAGTTTGCTGCTGACAACCAGAACCAGCTGCTCACATGATCAAGAAGGACCATCAGCCTAACAATGGATCATTAGTGATCAGCTGGTTTTGGTTGTCAGCAGCAAAACTGGTTGATACAGCACCTCAGACTGAGGAAGTCTCTTGGATGAGAGACGAAACGTTTCTACTTTTTTTTGCCTTTTTTTGTTGTTTTTTTTTTTTATGTCCAGAGGACCAGATTTAACTTTTTTGGATTCTTCTACCTGGATTATTGAGCAGCATCAGGATATGTTTACAACTGTAGGTAAACTAGATGTTTAACAACCTGTTAAAATACACCAGAGTGCAGGAAATAGCATCTATTCAAAATTTTCTGGGTGAGGACCCCTAGACCCTCCTCCCCCAGTGTGTCGTCCCTCCCACACACACACACATTATAAATGCTTCTGACACCAATGGGCACAAAACAGGCACATGGCCGAGCAGTGGGACACGAACCTTAAGTCTTGTCCAGACCAAAACATCTAAGAAAAGTTTTTACCGTTAGCAAAATGCTCGGCTGTGTTTGTCTTGCTGCTGTTGTTGTTGTTGTTGTTGTTTGATTATTGTTTATTTTTTGGTTGACACCATCTTTCATAATGTATGTCTTCATTAAACTAGGACATGTTAGTAAATGTCTTTTCCCTTAATTTTCTTCTTGGAATTAACCAGAATGATTAATTTATACGTCTGAAAAAAAAAAAAGACTAACTCTTCCCCCAGGGAGACCCAGAGAGCTGTAAGAACATTGACCCCCCCCCCCCCCCCCCCCCCCCCCCCCACCCCTCCGGAACATTGCAGGAAGTGATGGTGCCAATCTGTTCCAAACAACCGACAGGACTGGAGGAAGACGACACGGGACAGTCTGGATTAGGCCTGCATTAGTCCCGATGGATCAGAATCCTCTGTACAGTAGCGTCCCACAAGGCTCAGGTTCAGGTCTTCATGTGTTCTCATTGAGTTTCAATTCATCGTTACACAGTCAGGTTTATGTCCCTCTTAAAGGTCCATTCTGCTTCTAGAGTGTCTGGAGGACATGAAGGCCTGGATGAGACAGTCCAAAACGCTGAGGAACCACTTGTAACACAAATACATATCCCTGAAACTGGACTCTGAACAGCTGCTCCTTAGGGTTCCTGAAACTGGACTCGAGCTCAGGGATTTTAGAGGTTGTTAACCGCTGGTCTTTGTAAACCTGTTCAAGTCTTTGGGGAGTGACAACGTCCCAACAGTCCAGTTCTGCTGAATTAATATAGACTTGTTTAGACCTGGTTCTGGATCTGGACTCAGGTTTCAGTTCTGACGTTCTGTGTTCTGTTCTGTAGAACCGAGGTGTGTACATGTTCCGGATAGATAATGACTTTGTGATCGACGCCACCATCACCGGAGGACCTGCCAGGTGAGGCAATGTGACCAATAAACAGCAGTGCTGTAGGACCAATCAGAGTGCTCACCTGTGAGGGGGCGGGGTTTGTAATTGACAGGTACATCAACCACTCATGCGCTCCAAACTGCATCACTGAGGTGGTGACTGTGGAAAAGGAGAACAAGATCATCATCAGCTCCTGCAGACGTATCCAGAGAGGAGAGGAGGTATGTTCAACATGTCAATCAATCAGTCAGCCAATCAGAATGTGTCTAATTGTTGGCTCCGCCCCCACAGCTCTGCTACGACTACAAGTTTGACCTGGAGGACGATCAGCACAAGATCCCGTGTCACTGTGGAGCTGTGAACTGCCGCAAGTGGATGAACTGATCCTATGTGCACACTCACGTGCACAACTCTCTCTCTCTATTCAAAGCTGAAGGTCGATCGCCCCCCTCCCCTCTGTGGGCGGTGCTAATATTACATCATGGTTTAACTGAGTTTTTTGACAAATAAAGGGACGGGTTGTGGATGGGGCGACATGATCTGGTCAGATGGGCGGGGCTAATGACAATGCTGAGTTTGTGGGCGGGGCTAAAGACGAGGCTGGTCCTGCGTGTAAATTGGGTGTATAAAGAAGCACATCTGTAAATGTGAGTAAAATAACCGAATGTTTTGTTCTTTAACTTGCACTAAAACACAAAACGATAAAAACCACAAACATACTTGATTCCACTGGCGGCTCCTCCTCTTCCTCCTCTTCCTCCTTGTGTTTATTAATTTTCTGTAAATTAAGAGATTCTTTTTGTATTTATTATTGAATGAAGCTATTTTCTAAACCTGCGATTAGTTCGAGGTCCAGAGAGGCAGCGTGTAAATATCTGTACTATAGATGAAAAGTTTAACGAGCACTCAGAGCCTGAGTGCTGCGCTCTGATTGGACAAGCAGCTCCTCCCTCTCTCGTGTGCTGCGCTCTGATTGGACGGTTTTCTCTGTTTTTTTCCACCCAGAGTTTTGTCTGCAGGCGCCTGCAGCCCTGTGGTTTCCTGCTGCCATGTAAATACGAGGTCTAATTCAGGCTCTGCTGATGTACAGAAAGACACATGAAGCCTTGATTTTGTTTGTTTGTTTTTTATTAATGGACGTAAACAAAGTGAAGTTTTTGTTTATGGGAAATATGGTCAATCTGATTTAGAATCATTTACAGAAAATAAAGTATTTTACATCTTGAGCCTGTTTGGAATCAGTTAATGAGCAGGAGACAAACTGCGACGTGGAGCCGGTCTGACGGTTTTAGGGTGCATTCACAGCAGCCCTGTTTAGTCCGCATTAATCCAACTCTAGTCCGTTTGCCTAGAAAGTCTGGTTCGTTTGGGGAGGTGTGAATGTGCAGTCGAACTCCGGTCCGCCTAAATATCTAGGTCTCTGTTCGGTTCAAGGGAACTCTGGCGCGGTTCAAATGCAGTGTGAATACAAGTGGACTGGAGACCGCTCCAAAAGCAGGAAGTGGAGTGCAGCGCAGGGCAAACTAACGTGTGTTTCTCATGCCTCATACGGAGCCGTCAGCCGCCTTGTGTGAAAAACAAGATTCTCCGTGATCTTCTGCCTCATCTTCCTCTCATGCCGAGTCCATTGTTGAAAAATGACAAAACAGAACTCTTGACGCCGCTCCATTTTTGTTTTTATTTCCAGAAGAAGTTTCTTCTTCAGAGTTTTTTTGTGTTGTTTCCTTCAGTATTTCTTGGTGCAGCGCCACCGCAGGTGAGGTGGGGGACAGGTTGACTGACTCAGTGCAGTGTGAACGAGAACCGCACCAGCTCAAATGTAGACAGATGTTCTGAGTGTTGGTCCCCAATCGAACCGAGTCTACCGGCCTCTACCGGTGTGAAAACAACCTTAATGCGTTTATTTACTGGCTTAAAAACACTTTTACTACACGACACAGTGATGTGACCCAGAACCTCTTACACTTCTGCCCACGAGATGGTGCCGAACATGAGCTGCTTATTTTTCTTTAATTTGGAATTTAGAGTCAGAATTCTTCGGCCTTCGTTCAAGAGGACAATGTCTGAAGAAGTCGGATCTTAGAGATTTTGTTACTTCAAGGAATTCCTGAAGAGTTAATTCGTGAAGAGTTACTTTTCTTCATGGAAGAGCAGAAGGTGAGTAGAACAAAATGCTTTGTCTTGATTTTCTAACCTTTTGGAATCAAAATGGTAGAATTTGAGCATTTCCAGCTTTAATGGCTCAGAGGAGATGAGGAACTGTGTAGTACTCTGTCTCATGGAAACATGTTTTAATAACAACATGCTGGAATCAGCCTTCCAGCTGGATGATAGACTTTTTGTTTGGGGTGGACCGCTGCAGCGAGCCAACGGGGAAGACACAGGGAGGCGGAGTGTGCTTCTTCGTAAACAAAGGTTGATCCACAAACTGTTCTGATCAATAGCTCCTGCTCCGAAGCTGTAGAACAACTGGCTGTGACATGTCGGCCATGTTATTTACCTCGTGAGTTTTTGGCGGTGTAAATCTTTGTCTACATAGCCCCGGATGCTAATGGTAACGACGCTGTGCGGGAGCTCCATGATGACATCAGCTCTCTGCAAAACAAGCATCCAGAGGCTTTTTACGTGGCGGCTGGTGATTTTAATCATGTACACCTGAAAGACACTCTGCCAAGGTTTTAATCACCATGTGACTATTTCAACATGGGGAAATACACTCGACCGTGTTTACACCAACATACGAGATTCATACAAAGCCGTACCCCACCTCTGACCACATCTCCATATTTATGGTCCCTGTCTACCTCCCCCTGCTGAGACGTTGCAGACCAACACAGAAAACCATCACTGTACGGTAAGGTGACCAGGTTTCTGAAGTTAAATACAGTTAGTTTCATTTATTTTTACATATTATTCATGTTTAAACAATAAAAATTAAATATAACAGCAGGAATGTGTCTCTCCACACTGTTAACATAAGAGTAATAAAATGAATAAAGTAATGGTAGTAGTAATAGAGTACTAAAGGGGGGGGGGTGCAAGGGTATATACTAGTAAGTGAGCGTGCATACCTTGTGAGTGAATGAGAACATGTATGTACTTACGTACAGTAGCTGTGTATAAGTACACAGTGTATGGTTACGTAGCTGATGTGTATTTATATTGTGTGTATGTGTGAGGTGACGGTCAGGTAGTCACTGACGAGCTCATCTCTGGTTCTGCGAGGCCTCCTCTGTCTGAAGAACCATCATCATGGTGGTCATGGAGGTCTGGAATAGAAGAAGAGCATAAAAAGTTACGCACAAAACAAAGAGCAGATAACAGTAAAGAGAAATACTTAAAACATGAAAAATAAGACAGAACTTAGTAATATGATTATATATCATATTTTCTTTTTATTTGTTCTTCCACTTATACCATACCATACCACTTTATTTATAAAGCACTTAAAACAGCAACAAGGCCAACCAAAGTGCTGTACAGCCAAAACAACAGGTAACACACAAAGCAAAATACAAAATGAGCTAAATCAGAATATAGACATAAAAACGATGCAGATAATGACGACTAACCAGTGTGGAGCATACAGGATCAAAACACAGATCTGGTGTTGAAAGCTACTGAATAGTAGTGAGTTTTTAAACTGGACTTGAAAACCGAGAGGGAGGGGGCCTGTCTGACAAGCAGAGGTAACTCGTTCCAGAGTCTTGGTCCTGCTACAGAGAAGGCCCTGTCACCTCTGCGCTTAAGACGAGTTCCTGGAACTGTGAGGAGCAACTGGTCCGCTGACCTCAGGGAGCGTGGTGGGACATACGGTTGTAGCAGATCAGAGAGGTGGTGGGGGGGGGGGGGGACGACACTGTTCAGTGATTTGTAGACATACATGAGTATTTTGAACTGGATTCGAAAGTGAACTGGTAACCAGTGCAGTGAGGCCAAAACTGGTGTAATGTGCTCTCTTTTGCCTGTACTGGTTAAAAATGGGGCTGCTGCATTCTGGACCAGTTGTAGTCGTACAATGGAGGTCTGACTGATACCAAACAGGAGTGAATTGCAGTAATCAAGCCTCGATGTAATGAATGCATGTATTACTGTCTCCAGGTTCTTTTTGGACAATATGGGCTTCAGTTTAGACAGCCGCCTCAGTTGGAAGAAGCATGATTTAACAATCATGTTTACATGACTGTTAAGTTTCAGGGAAGGGTCCATTATCACTCCCAGATTAGTGACTCTTTGTTTTTCTGACAGGGTTAGAGCGGAGAGGTCGATGCAGTGGTTTGTGATCGTGTCGTTGGGAGGGAACAACATGACTTCAGACTTCTTTTCATTAAAACTTAAGAAATTTAAAGCCATCCAGTCCCTGATGTCAGCCAGGCAGTCGAGCAGCGGTTGAATAGAGCATGTACCATTGTGTCTTAGGGGGAAGTAAATTTGACAGTCATCGGCATAGAAGTGGAAGGGCATGTTGTGTTTCCGGAAAATAGCACCAAGTGGCAGCAGGTATAAAGAGAATAGGAGGGGACCCAGGATGGACCCCTGCGGAACCCCCCATTTAAGCTCTGCCTCTGCGGAACTAAAATCCTTGATGGAGACACAAAAGGATCTGTCAGTGAGGTAAGATCTGAACCAATTGAGGACTGACCCTGTGACGCCCACCCACTGCTCCAACCTAGAAATGAGGATCTCATGGTCGATGGTGTCAAAGGCAGCTGTGAGGTCCAACAGGACAAGCAGCACAGAATCACCGGTATCTGTGAATCTGAAGATGTCGTTAAAGACCTTCAGCAGGGCAGTTTCAGTGCTGTGGAGAGGTTTAAAGCCAGATTGGAATAGCTCTAAGATGGTGTGACCCTCCAGGAAGCACTTCAACTGGGACTCGACTATTTTCTCCAGTACTTTAGAAACAAATGGGAGTTTGGAGACAGGCCGGTAGTTGGAAACGACTGAGGGGTCAAGGTTTGTTTTTTTTCAGGAGAGGCTGGACAGCAGCATGTTTAAAGGTTTTTGGCACCACACCAGTGGATAAACTACCGTTTACTATGGCAAGAATGGACGGACCTAGAGTTGGAAAAACCTCCTTTAGAAGTCGAGGGGGGACCACATCAAAGGGGGAACCAGAAGGTTTCAAGCTGCACATGACCTGCTCTAGAGAAGATAGTGATGGGTTCAAAATGGTCAAAAGGAGCTACAGATTGAGGTGGGATGGATGGGTCATGAGTTGGAGGGGAAATGAGAGCCCTGGTGGTCGCAATTTTTTTCTACAAAGAAATGTAGGAAGTTGTCGCACAGCTCAGTCGAGGCTTCCAGAGGTGATGGTTCAGTGAGGTGGAGAACAGAGTTTAGGGTGGAGAAGAGGACACGTGGGTTGTGAGAGTTTGAGGTAATTATATCAGAAGAATTTTGATTTAGCAGCTTTTACTGTTTTCTGATAACGGCGCCAACTCTCTTTAAGTATCTGGAAAGAGACCTGCAACCTGTCTTTCCTCCACTTATGCTCCGCCCTCCTACATTGCTGCCTAGCGGCCTTGGTGACGTCACTCAGCCAAGGTTCTGCTCTGAGTTTTGATTTTTTGGTTT